TATTTTCGATGGTCTTAGGAACTGAGACACCGCTCCTCTATCCGTGTCCAGGCCCACATGCAGATATGCCCACATACGAGTACCCGGTGACCCCTGTGAAAGGGTCGTTCGTTCGACCTCCAAAGGGGTCGCGACCCACAAGTTGAGAACCACTGTTCTAGAGGCTATGGGACATACTTTGGGATTTCTGACTACATGCCCCTACTTTTTGGTTTGGTAATGGATTTATGTTATATTTGTGGTGGTTTTTCCAGGGCATGCTGCCCAGGTGGGGAAGACAGCCAGTTCTGGGGATGGAGGGCACTGTAGCTGATTATCTAGAGTGGGTGATGGAGGGAAGGCTGGCATGTACAGACAGGGCAAGCAGGGGTGCTCCCAGGATTCTCCATTCCCTTGGTGCCCTGGACCCTCTTGTAGGACCTGGGGAAGTTATTGTCATCCTATTTCTGTGTCAGAGAGACATGGCTTGACCCAGTGTCCATCTTCCCTAACAGACCAGCATCCCCAGATTGTCTCTCTCCTTATCAGCCAATCCATCCATCTGTTCAATCACTTAGTCATCACATCCTTGTTTAGCAACTGTGATGGGCCAGGATTCTTACTACAGAGGCAGCCCTGGTTTCCACCTTCACAAACATGGGGTTTGTGGGCCAGGGGCAGACACCTAAACATGTGCACGTGCAAACACACACACACACACACACACACACACACACACACAATCTCCTTCAGTGCAGAGTATGAAGTGCTCTGATGGAGGAGGGAGCAAAGTGCTCTGGGAACATCAAGGATAGGCGCCTCCTGGTGTCTGGTGGGGATCAAGGAAGGCTTCTCAGAGGAGGTGATGTTGGAAGAAAGACCAAGAATTCTTCAGGAGGTCAGACAGGAAGGGGCAGCCCACAAGGAAAGACCTTAATGTGCAAAGGCCCTCCCCCTTCCCCAATAGGCTGGAGGTTCCGGGGTGGGGGTGGGGGTGGGAGTGTGGACTGTGTCTCTCCCTTCAGACCAGATGGAGACCCTGTGTACCTCCTCCCAGACTGGGGTTGCCCTCAGGGTGGGTGGTATCTTTTATTTCTTTTATCTTTTGCTCTAAATCAAAAGGCATTTATTTCTTTACACATCCTCTTAGCTCCATGAAAGCAGGGACCCCTCCTTTTATGTGTAAGTGCCTGGCCTCCCCTTATATATATATATAAAAAAGTCAAAATTTAGTGAGTGTTTACTGTGTGCCTGGCATCGTGCTAAATGCTTTACATGTTATTAACTCCTTCCATCCTGCAACAGCCCTGTAAGGTTAAGTGTCACCATCATCCACATTTCGCAGATGGGGAAACTGAGGGCCTGGGAGGGCCTTGTCCAAAGTCATACAACTAGTAGGTGGCAGAGTCAGGATCCAGACATAGGCAGTCTGACTCCAAAGCCCACGCTCTACCCCTGAACCCTTGTGAATAGACTTGATTTACCTGTTCACTGAGCCCAACTTCCCGGTGTGAGCTGGAGGGGCGGCACTTGACCAGCAATAACTCCCTGGTGTTTCCGAGGAAAGGAAAGTGCAAGTGGGGGCTTTGGCAGGGAGAGAAGCCGCAGACTGGTATCTGAGGTCCCCACAGGGAAGGACGGAGGTTGGGAGGAGCACACAGGTCCCAGTCAAGGTTGGGAAATGGTAGAGGAAGTGGGGCCACTGAGACTGACTGGGGTGGGAGCGTTGCTGGGGACAGTCTGAGAGCCAGGCTGGGGAGGCAGCTATCACCTAGAACCAGGCCTCCCCCATCCCTTTCCCTCCTCTGTCCCTATCTGGTCACTGTCAGCACTTGAATCCAGCCCTTCACTTCCAGCCCCTCAGCTCCTGCCCTCGGCCAACCTTCAGTACCCTTGCTTGGATCTCTATAGCCTTTCTCACCGGCTTCCCACCCCAGGCACTCCTTCCCCCACCTTCCTCTACTGACCACCAGTTAGCTTTCTATAACTTAGATTTGATGGCTTCATTCCTATGTTCCAAAACCTTTCATGGCTCCCCATGACCCAGGGCCTATAGCCAAGACCCCCCCAGCCTGCTCTGAACCCCCAACATGATTGAATCCCAGCCTGCCTTTTTGGCCTTGCCTCTCTCAACTTTGTCTGTTCCAGATTGGTCATTTCTTGGTGCCCTTTCTTATCTGTACCTGTGCACACTCGGAGTACCCTCCAGGAATACCCTTGCTCATCCCCAGGTCAAAGGTCTACTCATCCCTTTTTTTTTTTTTATTTGTAGACTCAGCGCAAGTCTTTACCACTCAGGAACACCTTCCCTGACCACTCCTCCCTGACAGAATATATCTTAGTCAGCTCGAGCTGCCATGATAAAACACCACAGAGTGGGTGGCTTAAACAACAGACATTTATTTGTCACAGTTCTGGGAAGTCCAAGGTCAAGGCACTGTCTGATTTGGTTTCCTAGTGAGGTCCTGATTCCTGGCTTGCAGATGGCTGCCTTCTCCCTGTGTCCTCACACAGCAGAGAGAAAGGGAGGGAGAGCCCTTGTCTCTCTCCTCTCACAAGGGCACTAATTCTATCCTGGGGCCCCACCCTCATGGTCTCATGATACCTAATCCCCTCCTAAAGGCCCCACTTCCAAATAAGATCACATTGGGGGTTAGGGCCTCAACATATGAATTTTGAGTGGACACAAACGTTCAGTCCATTGCAGCATGTCTGTTAAACACAGTTCAGATTCTCATGCTGTCTAACTGTTTCAGGTTATTCCCTCAATTCGACTGGAAGGTCCCTGAGGACTGGTGCATTGATAGCCCCATCAGAGTGGGTGTCATTAGCGAGATCTCTGCAGGGACAGGAAGGAGCCCAGGTAGAATCTGTGGAAGGGTAGAGCCAGAGTCCTGGCAGACAGGGGCTGTCATCCCTGCTTTTCAGGACCCCTTGGGAGAAAGAAGTCTTTGTCCTCCCATCCTACCTTCTGTCAACTGACTTGGAGCCCAGTAATGATCAGTAATAGTAATAAATACAATAGCTCACATTTACTGAGGACTTATCATATGTCAGTCTCTATTTGAGGCACTTTACCTGTATCAGCTCATTTCTGCCTCAGCACAGTCCTATGTAGAGGGCACTATTTTTACCCCCACTTATGGATGGGAAACCAGAGCAGTTAAGTGACGTTCCCACGGTCACAGAGCTCAAAAGTGGTGGAGTCATGACTCAGTCTCGGATGGTCCAGGGCTTCTACTGTGCTCTCCGGTCAGGAAGTAATCCTTTACGCTTCAGCGCATGGCTCCTCAGCTCAAGGGACATCATTTGCTGCACGTGCCAACACTGGGCAGAGTTCCCCTCCTCCCCCCAAACAGAAGACCTAGATTCGAGTCCCTGTGGCTGCTGCTCACTGCTTCTGTGTTCTTGGGCAAGTTAGTTCATCTGTAAAATGAGCAAACAAACATTTGTCAAGTACCTATTATGTGCCACATTTAATTTAAACCTCACCACAAACTTTTGAGATTGGCCTTATTTTCTCCAGTTAACGGCTGAGGAAGTTGAGGCACAGAGGAGTTAAGCGAATTGCCCAAGGCCACACTGAAACAGGCTGAAACTGAGCTGTCTCATTCCGGAGTTAATACTTTTTCCGTTTCTCCTCATTCCTCAAAGTGTGATCCAGAAAGCCTCAGTTCCGGGGGATGGGAATACGTGTTATGTGGGAAAGAAAGGTTCTGTGATCCACTCTGTGTAGGGAAGGCTCTTTTCAAAAAGTTAAATAGGTTCTTTGCCTCAGGACTTCTCAGAGCCTTTATTATGCTGGCGTGCATTGGGTAGTTCCGAGAGAAGAGCAGGGTGAGTATGAACTTCTTTGCTGTGGGAAAGTGTGTTGAGGAGAATCTGTGAGAGGAGTGTTCCTTGGAACGCACTTTGGGAAAAGCTTCACCCTGCTACTTCCCTAATAACAACGGCAGTGACCACAGCAACCATAACAGTGATGCCGTCAAAGGCATTGTCACTATCATGTTAGCTTTGTCTCGACTGCAATGATAATTTTCTGCCCATGATTTTTGGGAGCTTTTTTAGAAAATTGCTCTTCCCATCCTCCCCTGATTTAAGGATCTCAATCCCTTGCTTCAGCTCCGGGCAGTGAGCCTTCGCCTCAGCCGTGCCCCTAAGGTTGCCCTTCTGTTCCCCACCTTCCCTGCCTTGTTCCTGAGGAAAATGAGAGAGGTTTGGAAAGCGGAAGTGATGTGGTCGGGGCGTGTGGTGAGATGGGGACCCTGTGTCCCCTGCCCCTCTTCTGAAGCTCACCTCCACAGGACACCCTTCCTCTGAGAGCCATCCCGAAAGGACTCATCCCAGGGTCAAACACGGGCTAGTCCGGGGCTCTGTCAGTCCTACAATACCTGGTTTATATTACACTGTGCAAAGCCAAGGAAGGGTTGTCTTTGGTGTACTCTATTTTTTTTCAAGTTTTATTGAGGTATAATTTACATAACAAAATTCATCCATTATCATATTCAATTTAAAGTTGTTTATTATAATTCTTTTTTTACATAAAGAGTACAAATCATTACAGAGTGACGAATTTTTACAAAGTAAAAACACCTGTGTGATTGGTACCCATATCAGAAACAGAACCTCCTTGTGGACCCTCCCATTCACACCCAAGGCTAAACACTCTCCTGACTTCTAACCCCACAGGGGTTTGTTAAAAAAATAAACTTGCTAACTTCCAAATAGTTTCTTTGAGGTTTATAGTAAGAGGCACAGCAAGAGCAAATGTAAAAGCCTTCAGCACAGCACCCTGAGAGGCAGTGCAAGGTTGTGTGTGTGTGTGTGTGTGGGTGGCGGGGAGGGTCAGGAGCTGAAAGACATGACTCCCTGACTGCCCACTGCCAGCTGTGAGGCCTGGGGCTTGTGACTGAACCTCTCCATGCCTCAGTTTCCTTATCTGTGAAATGGGAATAATAACATGACTGACTTCAAAGGGTGTTGGGAAGACTAAATAAGGTATTTTTACCCTCTGCCTGCAGTGTTCCCCTAGGAAGCCTCAGTCGAGGTCTGCCAGATAACTACATTTCTTAGAAGATGAGACTGGTGGACATGAGGTGAGAATCACTGCCATTTATTGAGCACCTACTACACGTTAGAGCTTTACCTCTCATCCACATGGCAATCCTGCATGGAGAGATTATCTCCATTTTAAAGATGAGGAACTAAGCCTGGAGAGGTAAATCCTGAAGACATAGGTTGGTAGGTATTGGAGCTGGAGTTTGAACCCAAGAAGTTTGGCTCGAGTGCCCACAGTCCTAACTATGGGGCCAGCCTTATATTTATGTCTCCTGGGCCATGGCCTTTCAAAGCCTCCTAAGGTCTGGCTGTAGCTGTGAGCTGAGTACTGTCCCCTGCCATGGACATCCTTTGCCATGGTCCTGTCCTCCCAAGATCAGGGTCAATCACGGCGCTACACCCTTGATGAGCTGGGGACATCCTCCTGGGGGAAGGGGTGGGATCTGGGGAGGGGATGAGTGGCACAGGGCAGAGCATCCAGGGGACTGCCCGGCAGTAGTGTTCAGACTCCCTGGGGTGTGGGCAGTGCCTGGGTCTCCTGGAAGCACGACCTTCAGCCAGGGAAGACCCAGAACCCTGGGCAGGGGGTGGCTCTGTGGGGTGACCATAGCCCTCCACCCTGAGGCATTGGAGAAGAGCAGCCCACACCCTGTAGGCTTTCCATGTAGGGCCCTGTCCTGCCAGGGAGGTCTCCTGGAGTGGAGGGTGCAGGGCAAGGCCGGGCAGGTCAGGCATGGGGATGCCGGTGACTCCTGCAGCTAGGGTAGGACTGAAGTGGTATGAGTTGTCTCCTACCCTCGCTGAGTGCTCAGTAAACAGTGGGTCATAGACTGGGAATTCCTGCTGTGTCTCCTCCAACAGAGGGAGGGCTCGCCAGGCAGGGGCTCTGACCTTTCCATCAGACTAGCTCCCTAGGCTAGTCCTGGGGCCCTGAGGCCTCTTTCTCACCCATCTTCCAGAATCATTGTCTCTTGGTGTGGCCTCAGGGTGGAGGGCAGTGTGGGCATCCTCACCTGGTGCCTCACCCAACCCCTCACTTCTAAGTGGGCTTGGCCGGCAGTGCTCACATCACCTGCCCTCTTGCTGGCCTCTACTGTCCCTGCCCTGACCTCGGGGCTCCCTGGGGCCAGCCCGGACATCTGTATCCATCTTGCCCCAAACTCTGGAGATTCTGACAAATTTCCTTTCATTGCTTCCAGCCATGTTATTTAAAGTAATTAACCTTAATTTATAAATTTTTATATCAAACTGCCTTTTAACTTTTAGAACTGGCAGGAGCAGCCTTATCCCTGGGCTCCTAATAGTTCTCCATTTAATCAAAATTCATCCATCAGGTTCCAGTGTTAAATCATCTTTTAATTGGGAGTTACATTCTGGTTAATAGTTTTATAATTCGCCTCCTCTAATAGTTTTTACCACAGGGATCTCTACTCCATTTTTCCTCACTCTATTATTGCGGTTCTGCGGGGAGGCCTAGCCCGGGCCCCGCCTCTCTGGCCTCTGCTGGTCGCCTCTTTTGTTCTTGGTGGTCTCATTAATTCCCTAGAAGAGTTCTCTTTCCTCCTCATTACTAGGGCAGAACTACTCTCCTCGTGAGGTGCAGCCCTCTCGTTTTCACAGCCTTCAGAGCTTCTCTCCAAAGAGAAAGCCAGAGACACAGGAAGGGAGATAGAGGCAGAAAGACTGAAAGAAACACAGAGAGAGAATATGGAGAGGAAAGAGAGTCTGGAGGCCGGCAGGTCAGGCCCACAGCAGAGGGGCAGTTAACCGGGAGAGAGAAGCAGAGGAGTTTGGAAATAGATGTTGCTCCGGCATTGGCTCTTTTCTGGCTCCTGTCCACCGCCCCTCAGCCATGGGCCCTGCTGCCTCGGAGTCGATGATGTAGGATGGAAAGTGGTCCCACCTGAGACCCCAGCACGGCTGGGGCTGGGGACTTTCTAGAGGTTGGCAGGGGAGTCCAGGGCCCCTCCCCATCCACTCTGGGCTGCTCTGCACACCATCAAAATATTCACAGAGGAGCCACAGGGCCTCCTGACAGACAAGAGGGAGAAGGCACAGTGACCACAGGATCCGGGTGGAGAGAGAGACCCAACAGAGACAGGGGAAGAGTCAAGAGCATGAAAAGAAAGGAGAGGGAAGAGAAAAAGAGGAGAGAAAGGGAAAAAAGGGAAAGAAGAGAGAGAAGATGGATTGGGGTCTTCCTGTCAGGGAGCTCTGCTCTGTGAGCCGACAAGCCTTGTGGGCACAGACAACTACACGTGCGCACATGTGTGCTCCCACAAACCCAGACCCTGAACAGACCTGAACCCAGACGTAGTGGCAGCTAGTGCATGGGTGACGCTGGGCTGGGGGTCAGGCCTGGAGTCTGTGGGTGGGGGTCTTTGAGAGGCCTCTGAGGAAGGTGGGCTGGAAGGGGTGACAGAGGGGCCAGGGAGAGAAGGAAGCTGGGTACCCAGGGCCTGGGCTGAGGCTGCAGATGTGGGCTTCCCTGGGGCATGGGGACTTGGGGGCTGGCTCAACCCCGAAGCCATGTCTCCCTTCAATGAGTCTCCCTTTTCAACCCCCTCTGGTCTGTGACTTTACGTTTTAGTGGGCCTCAGCCCTAACTGCACTTGGAGTTACCTGGGGAATGTTTACAATCCCAGTGCCCTGGCCCCAATTCACACACTGTGGTGGTTTTAAAATACATCCACAAATGCATTGGTACTTCTCCCTTTTGAAGATGGAATCAAATTCCCTTCCCCTAGCGTGTGGCTCCTTCTAACAAACAAACAAAAGCAGAAATGACAGTGTGTGATTTAGAAGGTTAGGGCACAAAAGGCACTGGGCTGCTTCTTTGCACTCTTTGGGATCACTCCCTCAGGAAGAAGCCAACGGCCATGCCACCAGGACACTTAAGCAGCCCTAGGGAGAGGCCCTGAGACCTGCTGCCAACAGCCATGTGAGTGACTCATCTTGAAAACGGATTCTCCAGCCCCAGTCAAGCCTTCTGATGACGGCAGCCCCGGCGGCCTGCTGAGCTACAGCCTCATTAGAGATCCTGAGTCAGGACGACCTGGCTCACACTGCTCCTGGATTCCTGACCCTCAGAAACCATGTAAGAAGTGTTTTTAGGTGCCGCGTGTTTTAGGGGTAATTTGTTATGCAGCAATGATAACACATTCATTTCATTAGCATCCTTGGGGGTGGGGCAGGACACAGGTGTGTTTAAAAGCTCCCCGGAGTGACACCAGGGTGCATCCAGGGTTGAGAGCCAATGCCCTAGGCCTGTGTGTGTGCTCGTGAGAGTATGTGTGCCTGTGTACTTGGCTGTGTGTACATGCCATGTGCATGGGGGTGGGGGAGGCACTGTATCATGTGCATTTGCCAGGATGCATAAATGTCAGCACCCCCTTGGGTATGTCTCTCTCAGAGTGAGTCAGAATATTTGCCCCAGGTTCCTGTGTCAGGGCCTGGTTCAGGATGGCCTGCGGCATGGAAAGAGCCTTGGAGGCTTTGTGGCTAGACCACTTCCTCTCTGTGAGCCCTCTCTGAGCCTCAGTTTCCCGTTTTTGAAATGGGGACATGCACATCACCATTCTGCCCAGTCCTTGAGGAGGCATTATTTGAGCTGGCTGCATGTCCCCTGGCCTGGTTTTGGCAATATTCTGGTAGCGCCAGGACTTTGTTGTGATGGCCCTCAGTGTGATGACATCTGACCTTCAGTTGTACAGATGTGAAAGCCATCAAATGTGTGGCCCCTCACTAGGATCTGACCTGAAGGAGGGTCTGCCACAGGGGACATCCTCAGGGTGGGGTGGGGGTGGGGGAAGGGACAATATTAGTCATGCTGGGTTAGGATTTGGGATTTGAGGCCAATAGCCTTGCCCTCCTAAAAGCCAGCTGGCTCAGATTGACAGGACAAGGAGTTCATCTTCATGTGCCAGAGAGCGAAGATGTCACTTCTGAAGCAGGAAGCAGAATAGTTTACTTCTTTGTAACTAAGGGAGGCTGATGGTTCTAGCTGAGTCTAGACCCTTGCCACCTGCGTGTCTTTGGCTGGCCTCTTAGCCTTGCTAGGCCTGTTTCCTATCTATGAAGTGGATGAGCAAATGAGCTTTTACCTTGTACATGTGACACACTGCGTTTTCCCACCAGAGCCCCTGGCAGGCCACTGGGGTAGCCTGGGAGGTGGGGAAAGGGGGGAAATCTGGGCTGGGGAAGCCCCCCCTGGGCCTCCAACAACCTGCAGACAGAACTGATTCCCAGGCCTGGCTCTTACTTGCTGTGTGACCTTAGGCAAGCCTCTGCCCCTCTCTGGGCTTTGATCATCATCTATAGGTAATAACGCCTATCTCCTGGGGTGGGGTGTGGAGAAGATGGAATAAGACGCTGCATGGGGCCTGCCCTGCACAGTCACAGTGCCTGGCCTCCAGTAAAGGGCAAATGCGCTTGTTACAAGCCCCAGCTAAGTCTTTACAAGGGTAATTGGAACACATTCAGCTGGTTTCTTTTCTATGGAAAATGGCTTCTCATTTCCCCGGGAAGGAAGGAGAGCAGGGGGAGGAGGAAGAGGAAAGCAGCACTTGTGAGCCCACCATGTGCCCCAGGAGCACTATGCTCAGACTTCCAGCCCACTGAGGCATCTAAACCTCACGACACTAAGGATGATGGGTCCCATTTTACAGACAAAGAAACTGAGGCTCAGGAAGGTTAAGGAACTTTCTTGCTCAGTGTCACACAGCAAGGGGTACAGAACCAGGGCTGGAACCCAGGACCAGCGACTGCAAAGCCTGGGCTTTTCTGTGGGTGCTTGAGGGCTGGGAGAGGTCCAGGCCATGAGCCCCACTTGCTCCCAATGGGGCCGTTGACCTCATTTCTTGCTCCCTCAGAGGCTGTCACCAGGTTAGGGGTAGGTGGGTGGGTAGAAATGACGGTGAAAGGGTCAGCAAGAGGTGCCCAGGACTGCCCTGAAGTTTGAAGGATTTAGGTTAGATTTGCAGGAAGAGTGCAGATCCTGAATGCACAGGCTGGCAGGTGCACAGGGCCTGTGGGGACTTTCCCCCTGGGAGTTTAGGGGCCTCGAGGAGCTCGGGCTCCCCTGACACGCAGTCAGCCTGAGCTTGGAAAGGGCGAGAGTTGGTTCTTTGAGGAGACAGGGAGATTGTCGGGTTAATCTATGCAGGGACCCACCAGCATAAGTGATTTGGATGGACGGGCCATCTCTGATTTTGCTGATGCATCTAAAAACAGATGGTCAAGTTTACAGGCTGTGGATATCAGAGCTTATATTCCAACCTCCAGCACTTGTGAGCAGAGTGATGTTGGACAAGCCACCTAAATCCCTGTGCCTCAGTTTCCTTATCGGTAAAATGGAGACAAGGAAACCTGTGTCAGAGGTGGTACTAGGATTAAATGAGATCAACCCTTTATAGCATTTAGGCCAGTGTTTGGCACATTGAAATCACCCAGTACATGGTGACAACCGTTAGGAATTGTCTGAGAAGGTAGAAGGAATTGGTGACTTCCTGCGTCTGGGGTCCTGCCTGGCAGTGCTGAATGGTCTGTCTTAGTCCTGCCTCTCCCTTTCTATGAGATCTTGATGAAAACCCACCAAACTCCTCTGAGCCTCAGCTTCTTGAATTGCCAGATGGGACCCAAGTCCCTGCTCTTCTGTGGGGACAGAGACATCAATGGCTAGAAATGTGTAGCAGATGCTCTGGGCATGACTAGACAGCCCACCCTGCACCCTCATGGGGCCCCCATAATAATCTTTTTCCTCACTCCTTCATAATAAATTTAAAAACATTTGGTGAACCCTTCTTTTTGCCAGATACTGTGCCCATGACACAGAAGTTACCAGTAGCACTTGTTGGGTGCCAGCTCTGAGTTCTAAACGCCACACCACCATCTGTCACCTGCACAACCCCTGGGAGAGGGTGACAATCACTCCTGCTGTGAAGATGAGGATGATGCAGCTTTGAGATCTTAGGTAACTTACCGAAGGTCACACAGAAAGACAGTCATCTGGCTGCTATTCGAACCCTCTTCTTTCTGCCTCTAAAGCCCCATCTCTCATTCCCTCCATCCCATCACTTCCTGTTGAATCCACAGAGTGCTCCTGGGAGCTCAGGATAACTGTTTCTACAGATGAGCAACAGAGAATTCTAGAGGTTAAATACTTTGTCCAGTGCTCTCCCAATACCAAATCCAACTCCCAACGCAGGTTTCTCTGACCCAGGACCCCTGCTCCCTCCTGTCCCAGTGACCTCTCACCCCAGTGGGACCCAGATTCCTTTTGGTCCTAGTCTCTGTTTCCCTGTTTTCTTTGTGACCCTCTGTGTCCTTGAATTAACCTCTCATCTCCAGTGATTCTGCCAGTTGGGGAGCTTTGTATAGTTGTCCTGGGAAGAGTCCTTGCTTGGGCCACAGTCCTGAGGACTGAGCTCTGTGCGATGACACCCGAGGATTGTCAAAGAAGGAATCACAGCCCCCACAGCACATAATCCAACCCTGGGCCTTTCCTTTGACAAGGAAACTCTCACTGAACCCATTTCACAGATGACACAGCTGATGCTCGGAGAGCCTGATTGGGACCCTATCGTCGAGGAGTTGTTGCAGCTGAGACTCTGCTGACTTGGACTGATGAGCCTGGCTGGCTCTGGCCTCTGGCAGGATGAGAGGTGAGTGTAAGGACAGAGAAAGGTGGGGGGAGGAAGCAAAGCTCAATGCAGAGCTGGCCCCTTGTGGGTGAGGAGTCCATGTGTATTCATGGGGGTCTGAAGAAGAGGACAGAGAAATCCATGGTGCTTCCCGGTGCTCTCAGCTGCAGGAGCCAGGTTGGCGTTCGTGCAGGAATGCCGGCGGGTGGATGTCCAGCTCTGGGCTTTGGTTGGCCTCTCATCTGCCTCCTGCCCCACTTTGCTACCTTCCCAGTGGGGCTGTCCCTCTGAGCCCAGGGGTGATGGGACAGCTGAGGACAAAACCAGGACTTGGCAGCAGAAAGGGGAGCAGGGGAGAGAGGTTGTTCCCTGGAAGTCTCAGGCCTTTAGCACTGCCAGTTGGGGTGGGGGAGGTGTTAGAACCCCTCTGGCCTAGAGAATGAAACGTTTATTTTCCCCAGTAGGTGAAGTGGGTGGTAGAAGGAAGGAGTAGAGAAGAGGAAGAAGGATTAGAAACTTCCTGGAGAAACATAGACAGGGGACACAGACGCAGGGAGAGAAGGAAAGACACCAGGGAGACCTAGTGGCAGCCCGATCTGAAGCTGCAGATCCGGACCTGGCAGGAGAGGCACAACTGGCATCTTCGGAGGGTGGCGAGGCCCCAGGACCTCCTTTCTGTGGGGAAGAATTTGGACTCTGCTGCACGGGGAGACGACTCAGCTTCCTCTCAAGTCCCTTCTGGGGATGGAGGAGGCCAGACAGGCCTTCTCCAGGCAAGAGCCTCTCCCCTTCTTCCACCCCAGGTACAGGGTCTCACTCCTCACCCAGCTCCTCCTACCCTCTGGCTCAGGACCTGGGAGAAGCTGCTGGCTCCTAGATTCCCAGGCTTCAGCCTTAGAAGGGAAAGCCTCACAGATGGGGAAACTGAGGCCCTGGCAGGGACTTGCTTGCATCTCCTTCAGGCACAATGCAGAGTGGCAGCATAGCCCGGGGCCCACTGCCCAAGTCCTGGCTGAGCTTTGGTTTCCTGATGATCCTGGGAGGAAGAGGGACATATCTAGGCTCCCTTTTCACCCCCAACATCCCACAGGTGACTTTCTAGGGGTAGTGAGTCTGAGAGGCAATGGGGCAGTAAGGGGGAACAGCAGGGAGCATTTATCAGGGGCCCCCTGGGGCATATACTGCCCTTTGACTCATCACCACCTGTAGGGCAGAAATGATGGCTCCTACGTTACAGGTGAGGAAATCCAGACTCAGGATTATTCAATTGCCTAAGGTCACTCAGCTGTAAGTGGTAAAAACACGTGAGGAAATCCATACTCAGAGAGGATTATTCAATTGCCTAAGGCCACTCAGCTGTAAGTGGTAAAAACTAGGATTTGAATCCAGGTCTGGCCCAAAGTCTGGACTCTTTCCATGGTGCTGTGTGCATAGGATTAGGAGTGGAAATGGAGGGAGAGCAGCCACCCCAAAACTGGGTTTGGAGAGAGGGGCACAGGCCAGGAGTGGGGGATTGCCTAGTGCAGCAGGGCAGGTAGGCACCCCATGTCCTCATGTCCAGAAAACCTTGGTTAGAACTCTGTCTCTGCCAGGCCCCACCTGTGTGAGGGTGGGCTAATCCCTTATCCTATCTGAGCCACATATGAATGGAGTGGCTGTGAGGTGTCTCCTGGATGTTTGGTGAATGAATGAATGAATGAAACAGCAAGAGACGGTGTGAAGAGGAAGTCCACTTATTCTGACTTGGGTCTAAGCCTACAGTGCCACCTCCGACCTGGGACAGAGTCCCTGTAGGCGCCCAGCTCCTGAATCTCTGTCCTTCTCAGCCCACCTAAACGAGGTCCCCTAGCCTTCCCCATATACCATGGGGAGGCCAAGAGATCCAGCAGATAGGCGGTGGATGGGGGTGCCCATACTGGTGGCCCTGACTCCGGTCAGGGCTGCCTATTGCATGATGGCATCCTCTCTTCTATGAAGTCACCCTGAGATCTCTCCTTCTGGGCTAGGTTAGTTGCTGTTAATTAAACCAATTGTTGGCCCGAATGCCCATCCTGTTAACATGTCTCCTAGACCCATTAATCATCCACAGCAGAGGAAGGGGATGGGAGGTTCGGGTGGGGGTGGAGGGTCCTGAAAACCAAGCCAAGCTGCCTCATGGAGACGAGGAGGGACCCGAGAGACTCAGGTCCACTTGTTGTTCCCTCTTGGGAGTCTTGGAAACTTCCGTCTCAGCCTAAGAATTCCTGGAAGCTTGCTGTGTCTGCACCCCATGAGGTCCAACTGAGGCCTTTTGCCTCCATTACCCTTGGGACCTCTTTCCTATTCAGCTTCCCTGGGGCAGGGCCCGCAAGAGGGTGGAGGTGACTGCATGGTTTGAGGTGGGTGGGTGAGGGCTCATCTGTGAGGTCAGAATGGAAGGCTGGACAGGAGTGAGGGTTCCAGTTGGTGAGCCACGTTATCCCCACTCCACTCATGGACACCTTTCCCAGTCCTGTTCCCTCTGTAGCTCTTTGGGGCCAGGTGGGGCTCTCCAAACACCTCATGTCTCTGCTTAGGCCTTCATAGGTGGACCTAGAGGCAGATGCTGGGCCCATGCAGGGGTGCTCAGATAGTCAGTAGGCCTCCCTCTCTTGCCTCCTTCCTTCCCTGCCCCCTCCCCCCAGTGTCAGGGGCCAGCTGGGCAGGGAGGGAGCTAGGGTGCGGCCAGCAGAAGGTGCATAAATCATTATTGGCGAAGACCTCAGCCCTGAGCTGCGGGTGGAGGCTGCTGCTCATGGTTCAGGCCAGGGCATAAATCATAATTCCCTTACAATAGATCCTTTTGCAGCCGCCATCAGGAAAACTGTGTTGGTTTTATCGATTTTTTGACACGGGGGCCTAGGCAGCGGGCGGCTCCTGAATCATTATGAAATGAAACTGATTAGGAATTCATGGAATACTAAATAAACTTTACGAGCCCGTTGTAAGTTTTTTGATGCATGGGGAGCGGAAAATGAAAACTAATGATATAAAAATTACACAGCGTGCTGAGTATTATTATACCACTATTGATTTGTTTCAAACTGTACATCAAAATCGAAGAGGGCTGGGGCGGCTCCTGCAGTGATGCCGGGGATGTTTGGACTCACCAGGCTGGAAGACTTTTTTTTTTCCCCCTTCTATTTTTATGTATTTATTTTTTCCTTTCTCTTTCCTCTAGCCTCCCTGCTCTGTAATCTAACTCCTTTCTCCTAGCCACCCACCCATAGGGCAGCCTGGAACCTGGACCCTGACTCAACTTTAGTCCCTGGCCTCTAACTGGTCTTTCTCTCCAGAGCTGTATTTTCAACCTGTGAGTTTCTCTTTTCCCTTCCCCATGTTTCTCTGGTGAAGGACAGTATGCTTCAGAGAAAATAGTTGGAGGTCTGTTTCCTGTTCGCACCTTGCTGTGTGTCCTTGGGCAGGTCCCTGTGCCTCTCTGGATGCCAAAAAGATTGGACTCATTAGATCAGGGTTTCTCAGAGTCTGGCCTACTGAGAACCCACATATCGTCTTCAGAGCTTGTCACAAATACTAATCCCTGAGCCGCCCCCTCCTTAGATGAACTGGCTCCATATCTCAGAAGGGAGCTCCGAGGGCTGGCCGAGTGGCGCGATGGTTAAGAACTGGCTTGGGATGCCAGAGGGCCCCGGTTCGGATCCCACATATGAGGGACAGTGACACTGCCCTCTACAGCTAAGATGCTGAACAACAGCTCAACCTGGAGCTGGGCAGCCGTGAGTCGCTGGCGACGGCGGGGGCTGCAGTCCCTGTGGCAGTGGGTTGTCATAAGCTACCATGTGTAGCCAGCAGCCAGCGTGAGCGGCCAGCAGCCGCAGTGAGCGGCCATCCAGAAGCCGGCGACTGATCTGCCTCGCCCGGGAAGAGCGCAATGATGGTGCCAACTTGCGCCAGTGAAGCAACGTCCTCCACAACTAGACTGAAGAACAAAAACGACAGCAACTTGTCTGTTCCCCTTCCCCCAATTCCCCAGCACTGTTCCCATCCCCCCAATTCCCCAATAAAAATCTTAAAAAAAAAAAAAAAGAAGGGAGCTCCGAGAATATGCATTTTACTAAGCACCCTGTGTAACCCCCATGCATGTTCCGTGTAAGCCACTGTACCCACTGGTCTGAACCGACACGTCTGAGCCACGTATCCCACTGGAGTGTCAGAAGTGGCTTTAAATAGCTGTGAATGTTGCCCTCTGTATTAACACTTTTTTTTTTTTTTAAGATTTTATTGGGGAATTTGGGGAGGGGAACAGACAAGTTGCTGTCCTTTTGTTCTTCAGTCTAATTGTGGAGGACGTCGCTTCACTGGCCCATGTTGGTATTATCATTGCGTTCTTCCTGGGTGAGGCAGTTGCTCGCCGGCCATTTGGAGGGTTGCTCACAGTGGCTCACGGCCACTCACGCTGGCTGCTGGCCACACACGGTAGCTTATGGCAGCCCACTGCAGCTTCACTGCAGCCTACACTGTCGCTGGCCACTCACAGCAGCCCAGCTCCAGGCCGAGCTGTTGTTCACCATCTTAGCTGTAGAGGGCGCAGCGTCACTGGCCCTCATGTGGGATCTGAACCGGGGTCCTGCTGCTCAGAGCTCGCGCTCCCAAGCCAACTCTTAACCAAGAGCCATTCTGCCTACCCTGTATTAGTTAACTTTTGATAGCGTGTGATGCAGGAACAAACAATCCTCAAATCTCAGCAGCTTAGAGCAACAAGAATTCATCTTTTGCTCATGGTACATGTAATCTGCTGCGGGTCGTTTGTGGCTCAGCTCAGAGTGACAAAGCAACCCAAGTGAAAACACGTTATTCTGGTGGCAGAGGGAAAAGAGCAAGAAAGATGGTGGGAACATGTGATGCTCCTAAAGTTTTAGCTGGGATGTGACTTATGTCACTTCTGCTCCCATTCTGTTCCCTAAAAGGAGTCATGTCATCAAGTCCAATGTCAATGAGATGGAAAGGACACTCCTGTCTTAGTAGATGGGCAGCAGGGAGAGGGATGGGTAGGAAGAGAATGCAGTGGATGTTGTAATACACTGTACCAAATTCTCCTGGACTTGGTCTTGGGTCCAGGCAGCCCTAGGATTTGGGGTCCAAGATGGTGTTTGGATGGACCAGGGGGTTTGGCCCAGCACAACTTGAATGGGGCTGCTACTTTACACAGGTGTGCTCACTGTACCAAATCATGTGTCTCAATGACAGTTATCCACTGACTTCCTCTGCCCACTCTGAGATCCTGGCCTTCCTCTTGGGTGTCCTCAGGGGGCATGGATTCAGCCCTTTGTCACTAAGTGTCTTTGTTTCCTTTATTTCTGCCTTCCTGCTGGGGAGGCCTGTAAACACCTGCCCTGGCTCCTCAATGGAACTGGTGTAGCAATTAGAATCCTTTTATAATACTGCCCTTTATCCTCTAAATTCGGAGGGTAAATTTAGATTTTGTAAATTGGATTTTCTTAAAGTGGAACACACTCAGCTTTCTTTTTTATCAAGTGTTTCACTTTTTCACATGAGATAACTCATGAAAGTCATCTCTTCTGTATTCTGATTATGTTCAACTTCACATTAGCCGGAGTCTCAGAGAATTTGAACTCTTCCCCTGGACACAATGTGTAACTCCCAAAACCACGTTACTGCCCAGCTCCAGCCGTCCAGGGTGGCATTCTCAGGAAGCCCATTTATGTCGGATGTCCAAGGATTACTTGAGGGAATCCACCCCATTAACGTGGGTCTGGGAGATAGCAGGGCCATCAGTGGCACAAGCTGGACCATTGGGGACCTCAGTATTTCTCTAAGGACACACACACACACACACACACACACACACACACACACACACACACACACAGAGTCTATATATAAACCTTTTTAGAACTAGACAAAATGGATCACACAGTGGTCCAGAAACAACACAGGAATAAGAGTCTTAAGGTTTGAGTTCAAATCTTAGTTCTGCCCCTAACCAGCTTTGTGGCTTTGGATATTACTTAAAAAAATAATCTGGGATTCAGTTTCCTCCACTGTCAAAGATAGATTTGGACTCACTTCCATCCAGGGGATTATAGTGGGCAGTGGTGAACACACTGGCACAATTCCCACAAGATGTTGATGCCTGTATCAGTTCCAACTCTATTCAGTTTGGGGAAGGAGGCTGATAGAAACCTAAACTCAAACTGGCTTAGGTAAAAAGGCAGTTACTGACTACTGGAGAGGCCAAGGGAGTCTTAAGGTGGATCCGGAAGTTCAGATAAGATCAAAGATCTGTCTTTACCTCTCAGCTCTTTTCGTCTTCCTCTAGGCTGGCCTCTTTCTCAGGCATGCTCTCTCTTCATGGCTGCCATTAACACTAGGCCCATATCCTAGTGGTTTCACAAAGGGAGCATCTTCTTCTCAGTAGTAACAGTAAAATTCCCAGGAAGTTCATTGGCCTAGCTTAGGTCACATGCCCACCTATGAACCAATCATTATAGCCAGGGGTGGAGGGAGGATTTCAGGCTCATAGCCATCTTTGGAGCTAGAGAGTGGGCTCTGCCCCTGATGAACCACATGGACTCACAGTGGGAAAGAGATGCAGGCTCCAAAGGAAATTTGAGGTACAATTTCAAAACAGATAGATTCTAGGCAGTTAAAGGTCACAGATGTCCACTGAAGTCCCTGAGGTCAGGGGCAGCAGCAGTGGGCAGGGTGAAGGCAGAATAGATGAGGCTTTTCTGGCCTTAAGTCATATCTTGAACTTTGGAGACAGCTGGGATAAAGCCCAAGGCTGGGTGGGGGTCAGGGGTCCTTCACATGCCAGGGGAACTTGGGGACAGCAGTGGAGCACCGAGGCTGTCATGGGCAAAATGACAAAGTTTCCCATCTTCACTGTTAGCATCTTCATTTCTGCATAAGCAGGGTTGCTAATTTGTGAGCAATGCTGGTCTCTAAAGTTACACATCTGGGTTCACACTCAATTTTACCTCTTCCCAGCTGTGTGACCCTGATCCAATCTCCTGCACTCTGAGCTGAGTTTCTGAGGACTGAGTGAGCAAAAGTAAGCGCTGGCCCCACCCTGGCTCTGGGAAGCTGCTCAGGTAAGACGTATTTGCCCTCTGGCCCTAGAACCTGGCCTTTCTGCAGAATCCCTCCCGGGTTCTGAATGGATATATCTGTTGTGTCCTCCGCTCTGGTCTTTCACTGAGGGCAGGACCACATCACATACATGGTTGTTCCCAGCCTTAGCACTGTGTGTGGCGCATTGGCTGCAGTCCACGAATGGCTGTGGAATGGAGTCACAGAGAGCAGCTGATTGGGAGATCCTCCACATGTGAGACCTGAATGTAGCCAGACCCCTTTCAGCCTCTGCTCTACCCCATGCTCATTCTGTAGCACACATCATATATAATTCCCAAAGTCTAGGTGAGCAAAGTGGGTTTTACTCAAGTTTTCATGGGAAGATAGGGGAGCAGATGACATCACACACCACACTCCAAACTAATCATACCACCCACTGGACTTCTCTCTTCTCTCCTTCCAGACAGCACTCTTTCCCTCTTCTCCAATCCCAGTTTCTTTAAAAAAAATAAATAAATCAGACCCTCATTTTGCATCCACGCAGCAAAATAAAAGCCTGGTAGGACACAGACCACCTGACCCCATTTCACTTGCTTTATCCCCTTTTTTGCACTATGGCCAACCACCAGGACTCTGTGCCCTTGAAAGCCCAACAACCCCCTAAAGCATGGGAGCATGCTGATTCCCTGAGGCTCAGAGAGGGGACATGACTTGCCCCTGTCACCCAGCTTCTGTACAGGGCTCCTCCACTGCACCCCACCCTGCATTGGAGGGGTCTAGTTTTGGCCCCCTCCCTGTGTCCATTTGTCCCTGTGGGTGGGAGATGCAGGGTGGAGCAGGATTGCTCCTGGCTGGCTGGCTCCCCTCATGGAGTTTGGGGTGCTATACACATTGAATTTAGATGTGGCTCTGAGCAGGCCATTCATTCATTCCTGACCATATCGACTGCAGAATTGAGTGCTACAAGTAAGAAGGAGTTTAGCTATTATTCTCCTACTGATTTGATTTAATGTTTGGTTTATTCCCGTCCCTCTCCCCCTCCTCTCCTCATCAGTTTGACATTTGCATAGTGTTTCCCTGCAGTTTTGTCAAATACACTTTTTTTTTCTGGTAACTCCCTGCTTTGGCTTGACCGGTTTTATTTTCGGGGGAGTTTGGAGCCCATTGAAGCACCTCCGTCCCTCCCTCCCTCCTCTGAGCATTTTCTTCCCACCTGGTGGGGGGGAGGGGCACATAGATAACCAATTTCCCTGGTTCTTGCCCCTTTGTGAGCCTATAAGATCCCCACTGCCTAGTACCCTTCCAGTATTTCTAAGTGACCTGGGTGGGTGGTGGCTCAGCACGCTCATGAATGAGCCTGCCCTGCCCACCACCGGGTAGCCTCTGCCCTTCCACCAGGCATCTCTGCCAATGGCTCAAAACTCTTAGGTTGGTAGAGCTGCCCAGCAGTGAGGTGGCATGTTCTGTCCCCTCTGTCCCTTGGTGCTGCCTTTTTTTAGAGGGGGGAGTCCCACAGCTGGAGTGCTTGGGGCTCAGGGCTTCCAGAATACCTGGTTATCTTAGTTTGATGTCACCCGGAAGCAGACCCTGAGACAAGGGTTCAACGGAAGTGGTTTATTTGGGAGGTGAAAGGGATAGCTGGGAATGGGTGGGATGTGGGACAGGGACGGAAACCGGAAACCCCAGGGGATAGGTAAGCCTAATCCTGCCTAGTTTCCCAGGTTACCCAACATTCCTCAACCCCTGGGGCAAGCACCCCAGGGATGAGAGAGGATCAAACTGGAGCCTTCCTCCTCACTAGAAGGCTGTCAAGCCAACTGGGGAAGGGCCCAGTCAGGACAGGGAGATCTTCAGCAGAAACCTGCAGGCTCCTAAATCCCAGCTCCTGTGCTTGGACCCCCTCTCTCCAGCTGGCTGTAGACTGGAGCTAAATCTAGTGGGATGAGGTGAGAGCAAGGCAGCTCGGAGCTTAAGGAGAGGTGGACACATAGGCAAATGCGTCAACAATGGGATGATTAAGGGGCGGCGGATTGGGGGAGGGGGGTTGTCACTTCGAGGGGTAAAAAGTATAACTATTGCACTGTGTTGTACAGCTGAAACTAACTCTAAAAAATGTGTATTTCATAATAAAAAATAATTTAAAAAAAATGATCAAGCAGAGGTTGAATGATTGCCTGCCCAAGGATGCCGTTGGCAGAAGGCAGGGAGCTAGCATATATTAAACACCAACTGTATACCAGACCTGGATATGTGGAACTAGAACGCAAACTCCTTAAAGGTTGGGGACCATGTTTTATTTCCCTTTGTATTCTCAGTGTCTAGCATTGTGCTTGGCTCCTGGTCTTAAAAACTTAGAATAACAGGAAAACTAGCTACTATTTACAGTTCCCTACAAGAGACTAAGAGCCTTTTGTTTATTGTAATGAATCCTTGACAATTCATGGTCGGTATGATTATCCCCATTTCACAGAGGAAACAGAGTCTCAGTGGGGTTAAACGACTTGCCTAGGGTCACACATCTATGGGGTAAAGTCAGAATCTGAACTCAGGTCTATCTGCCTTGTCAAGTCCCCGATTTCTCCCCTCCCTTGTGACATGTGCCTGCACTGAGAGGGAAGTAAGACTCCAAATGTCTGTGGAAGGCCCTTCAACTTCGGAGGTTGTCTTGTTAGCCTCCATCCTTGTCTACCCCCCACCAACTGCAAAGAAGAGGAAAAGCCCTTTCCTCCTCCTCAGGTGGCTCGTGGCGGATTACTTAGCGCTTGACATGGTGTGTCTCTGTGTCACTGTTCCCAGGCGGAATTAAATCAGGACAGGAAAATATTAATTTGGAGTTGGGGATGGAGGCCGCTCCTTTCCAATTACTCTCCACCCCGTCAGGCTTATCCTGGCGCAAACAAGGAAGGAGGCTGGATTAATTGCTTTGGACTCTGCCCCACTCCAGTCCCAATTACTGGGCCGGCTTGGCTCCCAGCATTATGAAGTGCACTGCTGTGCAGGAAATTGTGTGAAATTTTAACGGATTTTCAGACGCAATAATGGAGCGCACAGGATTTGGGGCCAGCATTTGCTGGGCGGCTGGGCCCTCTGTGCCTCAGCTGAGGTTCAGCTGTTTGGGGTTTCTTTGTGTATTAAAGGATCATCTGGTTAACCCCAAAGGCCAGGGCCACCAGAATGGTTCAGACCCTGACCCTGCAGAGGTAGGGTGGGCTCCTGGAGGACAAGGAAGTCCACTGCCTTCATCATCATAATAATACCATTTTCTGAGCCTCCACATGCGCCCGGTGCTTACCCACAACATCTGTAAGCCTCATCCCTTGAAGTTCATATTTTTTCCCCATCTTTTATTTATTTATTTTATTTTATTTTATTTTTTTTTAAAGAATATTTTATTTTTATTCATTTATTTATTTATTTTGAGCTGAGCCATCCTGCCACCTGTTGGCAGCTCAGCACAGGCCGGCATTTGAACCACTGTTGCTCAGAGCTCAAACTCTTTTTTTTTTTTTTTGTTTAGCTGAGCCATCCCGCCACCTGTTGGCAGCTCACGGCTGCTCAGCTCGGGCTGACTCGAACCGCTGTTGCTCAGAGCTCAAACNGAACCGCTGTTGCTCAGAGCTCAAACTCTTGAGCGAGCTCTTAACCAACTGAGCCACTCAGCCGGCCCTCCCCATCTTTTAAAGGAGGAAAAGAGGACACAGAGAAGTTAAGTAACTTGTGCAAGGTTATCTGGTTACTTAGGGATGAAACCAAGATTTGAACCCAGGTCTGTCTCCAAAGCTATGCTGTCATCACTCTGCCTCCTCCCTCATCTTTTACCCCTTCCTAAGGATGCATTACCCATGTGTCTTTCCCACTGTACTTGAGAGTACACAGTCCTTTCTCATTCTTTCTCTGCATCCATACTGTCAGGGTGCCTGGCACACAGCAGGTGCCCACGAGAGGTTTGTTGAACTGCATTGAACTTGGCCTGGCACCTGGACTCCAGGATTTATTAATGGTATGAGAGGGGTGGGCTGATGCAACCCAGAGACGTGTCTGGGTCAATGAGAATGAGCCCCATGTGAGCCCACCTGGAACCCATAGGAGGGAGTGGGGAAGGGAATGTGTCCCCAGCCCTAAAGTGTAACAGGTGCTGCCTAAGTGCTTTCCATGTAGAGTTTCTGTTCATCCTCACATTGACCTTAAGAGATGGGTGGCATCACCCACGTCCGAGAGCTGTGAAAATGAGCCTTAGAGGTGAGTGGACTTGTCTGAGGTCACACAGTTAGGAAAGGATGGCCTGATCTGCCTGTCTGGAGCCCCAGGACTTTGGTTTGCCTTAGTCAGTTGGAGCTGGAAAGGCCTGGGGTGTGGGTTTCCACACCCCTTAAAGCCAGGGCCCCTGTGGTTTAAACAGTAAGCAAAACTCTATTCGCATGTAAATATAATATGTGAAGCTAGTAAAAGTGGAAATGGTCTGATGGTTTCAGAGGAGTCAGGGGGACCAGGATGGAGTTGGCAAGAGGGGTGACTAACTTGGAGATGGGAATGGTGGTATGGCATTTGGGGAAGGGAATACTCTAGCTCACAAATCTAGCTCAAAAAAATCTCAGACTCTGGTGGGGCTACCACGTGGAAAGAGAATCAGACTTGAGTCGGGGGTGGGAGGAGCAAAGAGAAAGACCCTGGAGAAGATGGGGGTGGTAGAGGGATGAGGGTGAGGCAGACGGTGAGCATCATTAACTGTCCAATTCTCACCTGCCCCTTTTAACAAAAGGGGAATTAATTATGTGCAGGGGATGCTCCCTTAATGGCCATCATTTAGTTTAATTTAAGAAACAAGCCTCTCCGCACACCCACCTCAGCCAGCAGCACCACCATTGGCAGTTGCATTGATTAATGGCCTCCTCCTGGATATAAGGAGGGCAGGGGTTCTCAAACTGGAGCTGCCTCAGAATCTCCTGGGAGGCTCATTAGAACGTGGTTTGCTCTGTCTGCCCCACCCCTGGGTGGTGTCTGGTAATTTGCATTTCTAACAAGTTTCCAGGTGATGCTGATGTTATTGGTCTGAGGAACACACTTGGGAGCTGCAGTGGAGACAGGGTTTCTGTAGTGCCATCCCAGTCCTTGAGAACTTGGCCCCTCACCCCCAGGGGTTTCCTAATCTAATGGAGGTAGGTATCGTCATCTCTGCCATTTTACACCCCCGAGGTGCCCCTCGTTCTCCAAGGATGTGTATGACAAGTGCAGCGTCTCTGTGGCCCCTGCCCTGGGCAGTTCTGTTCAGAGAGGAATGGTGGAGTGCCAAGGGCCTGATTCCTCGACCACTCCGCCTACATGCAGCCCCTCCTAAGCTGGATTCAGGGGACACCCGCTTACTTCATCCTCAGGCCCAGGGGAAGGTGGACACAGCTCTGCAGGCCCTCTGTCCCCGCCCACCAGTTGAGAGAGGTCGGGCAGCGAGCATCTCGGGAGGCCTGGCAGTGGCAGGAGGGGGGCCTACGATTACAGGCCTGACTGTGGGCCACAGACAGTCTGCCGCCCACCCATTGATCCTGCTATGCAGGCTTTGCCAGGACTACCATCCAGAGAGCCTGTTTGCACCTGTGTCAAGGCGAATTCAGGAAACCTAATTAGCTAGTTTGGTGTTTTATAATTAGGTCCTATAAAAGAATTCATAGGTAGTGATAATAAGCCCATTTAGAAATCTATTAAGCTTTGGGGCAGTTGAAGGGAAACCCTGTAACTGTGTGCACATGTGCTTTCTCTGTCCCCTCTGTCTCTTCCCTTCACTTTTTCTCTAGTTCTCCTACCCTCTTTCCCCATCTGCATTCTCAGTTACTCTGACTCCTCTATCACGCTAAATGCTAAAACCTTTGGATTTCCACTCTGTGTCAGGCAGTGGCACACAATGATTCAGTGAGCCCTCCCCACCACCCTAGGACCGGGGTACTATCATTG